TATATATTCAAATGTTAAAAGCAGTACATTTCAGAAGAAATTTAGAAAATTTATATATAATCAAGAATTTGAGACTTTTTAAAGCAAAGTAGCAAATCCAGAAATTATTTTTAAAAACAGAATCCTTAGTTATATAAAAAAATTACAGCAAAATATGAAAAATTAACATAGTAGAATAACCATTAGGTAAATGTAAACACATTTGGTAATGTATGTGAACCTTCTGATAAAACATGCTAGTACATGAGGGTTTAAAAAATTTTTAACTCTCAAAGGCCATCCCCTGAAACCCACAACAAACAAGACTACCAGAGAAACTGTGGTACTGTTCCTGAGCAGGCAAAGAATGCCTGGTATCAGTGCTATTTTAACACAGTAGGGGAAGTCCTAGCCTGTTTTGTTAATATGAAAAACAAACCCAGAAATTCATATTTGAAAACTTTTTTTTCCAAATTTACATATCTCTATTGAAAGATATTTAAATTTCTACACTTGAAATTCCAAAGGGACTCAGTGTTATTAGACTTTAGCATGGTAACTGTATAAATAAAAAGCAGTAAGAGGAAAAAAAGGCCTAACAACGGGATTGACTGAATGGACCACGACTTTGAAAATGAGCAGGCTCGTCAGTATGGGGAGAATTCCTACAAAAGCTCTAGGAAACTAGATAAGTGATGGAAAATCTTTTGACGAACATCCTGTGGGGTGAGCCTTCAACCCGCGTTGCCCTTCCAGCCTCTAAACCCCACGGTAGGCCTGGTCCCGCCTCCAGCCCCGACCCTTGGTGTGCGCAAGGCCTTCGGCCCAGAGCCCGGTCACAAGCCGGGCTGTTTCTAGCCTCAACCTCTTTCCTTTGGTCCAATGCTGTCTCCACCTGCCTTTCTGGGTGGAGCCAAAGTCCTACCTGCATCCAGTCATGAGGGAACTACTTACAACTTGTGTGAACCCACCTAACATAGCTGACACCTCTTTTTCAAGGTGGGGAACGGAAATGACGCCAGAGATTCCCGTTGTCTGTGCCTCTCCCTGTGATTAGCTTTGTGGTGGTTAGTTGCATCCCGGCTAGGTGAGGTCCTCAGTGAACCAGAGTGTACCATGCTGGAAGGAGGGTGTCCAAGGACGAGTTCCTTGTAGGAGGCTTCAACGGGCTTCCTTTGGGCGGCCTGGCTGGCTCTTCTGGTAACTACCCGATCAATGAAGGTATAATCAAGAGTATCTATTTTGATTCTTGGAACCACTTTATTGAGACATAATTTGCCTACCATACAATACACCTATTGAATTTATACAACTCAATGTTGTCATCGTATTGATATATTCACTGGTAACCATCACAGTTTTATAATCTTTTCACTTCAAAAGCAGCTTGTCAAATCACCTTCATTTCTCTCAATATCTAAACAACCACAAATATACTTTCTCTATATGCAGACTTGCACTTTCTAGATTTTTCATATAAATAACTATTTTCACTTAAAATGTTTTTCCAAGGTTCATCCATGTTGTAGCAGACATGGCTCACATCATCTTGGCTTTGGAGAATTTCCATGTGAATATGCCACTTTGTCACTCACTGAATAACAAAAGCTGGGACCATATTTACTTGATTTATCTTGCTCAGCACTTGACGACAGTCACTAGGAGGCCAAGCAGAATGAGGTCAATCTGCAGCAGTGATCTCAACATTGCCCGCAAGGTCTCAGACTCAGGCAATTGTAAGAGATTCACTGGGTAGGTTTTTTAAAAAATATCTGACTGTATTGGATCTTAGTTGCAGCACATAGGATCTTTCATTGTGGTGTATGGACTCTAGTTTAGTGTGCAGGTTTAGTTACTCTGCAGCATGTGGGATCTTAGTTCCCAGACTAGGGATCAAACCCGAGTCTCCTGCATTACTTAACCCCTGGTCCAGAGGGTTAAGCCGATGCTTAACCCTCTGGACCACTGGAAAAATCTCTAGGATACTAAGGTCTTATTTCAGACAATTAGGCTACATCTAAAGCCAATCTGTAACCCTTAGTCATTGCAAATAATTAAAGGGGGCAACAGATGGGCTGAGTCACAATGTACACACCCCAAATTAAACTACAACATGACATATTCCTCCATACATACAAATGTGTAACACAAAATTGCACATGCAATTCTTGTTCAGGATTTATTAAGGTTGATCTGGATTATCATTATCATTACAATGGTTTAATTAAACCTCAATAAAGCATCATCAAGCAGCTGCAGACATGATAGCCAAACTCAACATAACCCAAGGCTGCTCAAGCACAAGAACTTTGTCAAGGCTAGAACGAGTTTCTGCAGGTCTGTATCTGCACCCAAGACCCACACTCAGAACTGCCACTGATGGCATCAAGCACAGCAGATGATCAGGACCAGCTCTATTCACATGAGTTTTTCTGTTTTCACAGCAGATGTGTGGAATGACAAAAACAGAAGCAGGTTACATCATCAGTGACAGCTGTTGTCTGACCAAGAAAAATACAGTTGTTTTGCCAGACCGTGGTGTTGGGTTTAGGGGTGAAAGAGAATATTATTCTCAATTAATTTCTGCACAGCTTGAGATTAAAGATTCTCCCTGAGATGCGGGGGTTGTTCATCTACAAAAGTCATGAAAAAGGGGTGACTCACATTAGATGTAACCTTATCTTGTGCCATGACAGGATCAGGATAAGAATGACAGGATAATTTTACAAAATTTATAGACATACCATATCTCTCACCTTGGACAGCATGAAAAGAAAGTTAGTTCATCAGTCATGTCCAACTCTTTGTGACCCCATGGACTGTAGACCACCAGGCTCCTCTGTCCATGAAATTTTCCAGGCAAGAATACTGGAGGGGGTAGCCATTCCCTTCTCCAGGGGATACTCCCGACTCAGGGATTGGACCCAGGTCTCCTGCATTGCAGGCAGATTCTCTACCATCTGAGCCACCAGGAAAGTCCTCACTGTAAATGAGGTTAGCGAGCACTGTACACATTTAAGCACTCAGTCTTCATAATGTGAAGACAATGTCAATCCAACAAGAGAATCCAGCAGGTTAGACAAGGATAAAGTGCATATCCTGAAGGTCCACTTTAGACCCAGTTGCAATCTGAAAGTGCAGTCACTATACTGGCCTGGTCTAGCTATGACAGTAAAGACAGACACACTGTGTCCAAGAATTTATTCTTGTTGTTTAGTTTCTCAGTCGCGTTGGACTCTCCCCGAGGTCACAGCCAAATCACAAATGCTTAAAATAGATCTACAGAACCCCCAGAACTCTACACCCCTCAGCAACTCTAAGATTTCAGACTCAGGATAGTATTTTCCAAATACTCCATATTCAGTTTCTCTTGACTGTGAAACACCTCATGTTTATTAAGAATGAGGAACAATCTAATGGAAAATGATGACTCCACAATTAACTTCTTACATTCATAAAGTTTTTCTCCACAGTGAGATTATAAGTGAACATTATTTAGCAGAATTAGAATTTACACAGGAAAGGGTACATTGGATGTCTTCAATAAATAACCACGTAAATCTCTAAGAACAAGTTAAAATTACTTTCTTTTACCTAAAGGTATAAACTGTAAAAAATAATAAAAAAAACTTACCCACATGGCTTAAATCAGTAGGATTTCTGTCTACTGCAAGATCTCCCATATTTAAAAAACAAATTTCACTGAGGCAAGAGTGAACAGCTGTCCATGCCTCTTAATATTATCATATGGCTTCATTGTGAGTTTTTTTATTTATTTGGCTGTGTTGAGTCTTACTTGTGGCACGTAAGAACTTTGTTGCCTCATGCCAGATCCTTTGCTGCTGTGCATGGACTCACTAGTTGCAGTGTGCAGGCTCAGTACTTGTAGTGTGCAGCCTTAGTTGCTCTGTGGCATGTGGGATCTTAGTTCCCCAAGCAGGGATTAAACTCGTGTCCACTGCACTGCAAGGCAGATTCTTAACCACTGGACCACCAGGGAAATCCCCACTGTGATAGCTTACATAACAGTTGTGAGACTTACGTCCTTACCATACTCTGTAAAGCAGCTCCCAAGTGTTGACCTTTCATGTTGTTGGAAGTGAATCAGAAAGACAAAAAGCTTTCCTCTGTGCCTTACATTTATAGGGTTTCTCTCCACTGTGAATAGCCTTCTGTGTGGTAATGGATGAACTGGTACATGTTTTCCCACATATATTACACTCGAAAGTCTTCTGCCCTGTATGAGCTCTAAAATACTTAAGACAATTCCCTGGCAGTCCAGTAGTGGTTACAGCTCCATGCTCTCACTCCCAAGGGCCCGGGTTTAATCCTTGGTTGGGGAACTAATACCCTACAAGCTGCATGGTACAGCCAAAATGAATAAATAACATTTCAAAAATGCTTAGAAAGGAAAAAAAAAAACCACACAAACTTAGAGTTGAAGCAGCAGCAAATACCTCCCCTCATTCCAAACACTTATACAGTATCTCATCAGTGTGAATACATTTGTGAATGGCAAAGGGTGAAGAACTGGCAAATCTTTTCCCACATTTATTACATTCTAAAGGCATCTTTCCACTATGAATTAAAAAATATTTAGTAAGGGATTTCCCTGGTGGTCCAGTGGTTAAAACTCCACCTTCCAATGCAGGGGACTTGGGTTCAATCACTGGGAACTAAGGTCCCACATGCTCTGGGGTGCAGCCAAAATTTTTAAAAAAATGTTTCATAAGATAAGAGAAAGCAGGATGGGCTTTTCCGCATTTGTCACATTTCAATAGCCTTTCTTCAATGTCGTTTTATATGGTAAGAAAGGCTTGAGAAGTGAGAAAAGGTTTTTCCACATTCCTTACATTCATATGGTTTCTCTCCAGTGTGAGTTCGTTTGTGTATGATAAGATATGAAGAAGTGGTAAATGTTTTCCCACACACATTACACTCAAAAGGCTTCTCTCCAGTGTGAGTTCTAAAATGTATAGTAAGATATGAGGAATTAGCAAAGGCCTTCCCACATTTATCACATTTAATAGTCTTCTGTGCAGTATGAGACTGTAAATGTCTAATAAGGTGGGAAGAAGAAGCAAAGGCTTTCCCACACGTGTCACATTTAAAAGGCTTCTCACCAGTGTGAATTTTCATATGTCGAGTAAGGCCTGAAGATCGAGTGAAGGTTTTTCCACATGTGTCACACTTAAAAGGCTTCTCTCCAGTGTGTGTTTTCATATGTTCAGTAAGGCCTGAGGATCGAGTGAAGGTTTTCCCACAAGTGTCACACTTAAAAGGCTTCTCTCCAGTGTGAGTTTTCATATGTTCAATAAGGCCTGAGGATCGAGTGAAGGTTTTCCCACATTCCTTACATTTATAGGGTTGCTCTCCAGTGTGAGTTCCCATGTGAATGTTAAAGGGCAGAGAATGTTTGAAGTCTTTCCCACATTCCTCACATTTGTAAGGTTTTATTACTGTGTGAATTTGGCTGTGAACACGAAGGTATGAGGATAATCTAAAGGCTTTCCCACAATCCCTGCATTTGTAGGGTTTTATTCCAGTGTGAATTCGATTGTGAACACGAAGGTATGAGGACAATCTAAAGGTTTTCCCACATTCCTTACATTTGTAGGGTTTTATTCCAGTGTGAATTCGACTGTGAACAAGAAGGTATGAGGAAAACCTAAAGGCTTTCCCACATGTGTCACACTGAAAAGGCTTCTCTCCAGTGTGTGTTTTTACATGTTGTCTATGGCTTAGGGATGCAGTGGAGACTTTCCCAGAGTTCTCACATCTGTAGCATTTGTTAGCAGTGTGAGTTGGCACATGTGCACAAAGCCTTGTTGAGTGAACAGAAGTTTTTCCATATTCCTTCCATTTGTAAAGCTTTTCTTTATTGTGAGCTCTCACTTGTGTCCGAAGGTAAGACTGATTAACAAAGGCTCTTCCAATATCTCTGTGTTCTAAGGCTTTTTCTTGTATGTTAGATTTCCAGGGTATAATACCTGGAGTCAGCATGACAGTTTTTCCACACTGATTAAACATGGAACATTTTTCTCCAGTAAAGGATTTGTTGTGCAGAGTAAGGAAGTTTTTCCCATACTGATTATCTTCATAAGGGTTCCCTCCATTTTGAGTACTCCTGTGTGTCCTAAGGCATGAGTGGTCACTGAAGTCTTTCCCACATTGCTCACTGTCATAGAGTTCCTGTACTTTATGGCCTCTCGCCTGTGGAGAAATGAAGAACGATGATTCAAAGATTTCTCAGACTCATTAACTCCTCCTACCCATCTCAAAATAGAAACATTATTATAATGAGGATGAATGATTTATACCATCTCCACTACATTCATACTATGCTTGCCCTCTTGATTTATTTCAATTTAAATGATAAAATCCTTCTGTAAGAATGATGTGCCATATACTCTCATCCTAAAAGAGTTCTACAGGGGACTCCCTGGTGGTTCAGTGGTTAAGAATCCACCTTCCTATGCAGAGGACATGTATTCAATACTTGGTCATGGAACAAAGAACCCATATGCCATGGGGCAACTGAGTCTGTGTGCTGCAACTAGAGAGAAAGCCAACATACTGCAATGAAGACCCACAGTAGTCAAATAAATAAGCAATCAAAATAAAGTAGGGGATGGGTTCAAGATGGAGGAATAGAAGGATGTGCACTCTTCTCCTGTGACAGCACTGAAATTGCAACTAGCTGTTGAACAACCATCGACAGAAAGATGCTGGAACCGACCAAAAAAAATATACCCCACGTCCAAACACAAAGGAGAAGTGGCAACAAGATGGTGGGAGGAGTGCTATCACAATAAAATCAAATCACATACCCATTGCATGGGTGTCCCACAAACTGGAAAACAATAATACCAAGTAAGTTCTCGCACTGTTGTGAAGGTTCTGAGCCCCATGCAAGGCTTCTCAGCTTCCAGATTCAGCAAAGGGAAACACCATGGAATCACCATGGAATCTGAAAGCCAGTGGGATTTGACTGCAGGACTTCCACAGGACGGGTAGAAACAGAGACTCCACTCTTGGAAGTCACAAACAAAATCTTGCATGTATCAGGACCCAGGAGAAAGGAGCAGTGACCCCACAGGAGACTGAACCAAACCTACCTGCTAGTGTTGGAGGGTTTCCATCAGAAGCGTGGACCACCAGGTGGCTCACCTGGAGACGGGGGGCACTGGCAGTAGCAGTCCTGGGAGCTGTCCCTTGGTGTAAGCCCTCTTGGAGGTCATCATTACCTTACCATAGAGCCTGCAGACTCTAGGACTGGGCTGCCTCAGGCCAAACAACTAACAGGGAGGGAGCACAGCCCCACCCATCAGCTGACAATTGTATTAAAGTTTTACTGAACAAGGCCCTGCCCACCAGAGCAAGCCCCAGTTTTTCCAACTGCCAGTCTCTCCCAATAGAAAGCTTACACAAGCCTCATAGCCTTATCCACCAGAGGGCAGACAGAAGCAGCAAGAAGAACAACAATTCCTCAGCTGTCAGAACAGAAACCACATCACAGTAAGTTAATCAAAATGAAAAGGCAAAGGATTATGTCTGAGATGAAGGGACAAGATAAAGCCCTAGGAAAACAACTACATGAAATAGAACTATGCAACCTTCCAGAAAGAGAATTTAGAACAGTAATAGTGACGATGGTCCAGGATCTCAGAAAAAGAACGGGGAAAACACAAGAAATGTTTACCAAAGACTTAAAAGAACTAAAGAACAAACAAGAGATGAACAACAGACTAGAAGATATCATAGCAGAATAACTAGATAGGATAAGTGACCTGTAAGACAAAATGACAGAAATAACAGAATATAGGAGAAAAAAAAAATGAAGACAGCCTAAGAGACTTCTGGGATAACATTAAATGCACCAAAATTCACATGATAGGGGTCCCAGAAGGAAGGATCTGAGAAAACATTTGAAGAGATAATAGCTGAAAACTTCCCTAACGTGGGAAAGGAAATAGTCAACCAAGTCCAGGAAGTGCAGAGAATCTCAGGCAGGATAAACCCATGGAGGGTTTACACTGACACACATATTAATCAAACTGACAAAAATTAAAGACAAATATATTAATAAAATATTAAAAGCAACAAGGGAAAAACATTGGTTTTATAAACAAATAATACACAAGGGAACTCCTGTAATGTTATCACCTGATTTCTCAAAAGAAATTCTATAAGCCAGAAAGTAATGGCATGATATATTAATATTTAAAGTGATGAAAGGGAAGAATGTACAACCAAGTATATTCTACCCAGCAAGACTCTCATTCAGATTTGACAAAGAAAAGTTTTATACAAGCAAAAGTTAATGAGAATTCAGCACCACTAAACCAGCTTTACAACAAATGCTAAAGGAACTTCTCCAGGTAGGAAACACAAGCAAAGGAAAATACCTACAAAAAGTAAACCTGAAACAATTAATAAAATGGAAATAGGAGCATACATATCAATAATTACCTTAAATGTAAATTGGTTAAATGCACCAACCAAAGCAGATTGGCTGGGTGGATGAAAACATATACATATACGCATTTTCACTTACCACATCACTCTATTTAACCACCTAAATTGTATGTAATTCTTTTATATTGCTAGGTTAATCATGTGTCCATTATAGCTTGCAATTATAATTATCTTTTATTTTTTGTCTGGCTATTGGTTGTGAAAATTGATAAACATCCTTTACAATTGTGATTATGTAACTATTATTCATTTTAACACCACTGTATCATAACTGGTCAACAGAAAATAATAGAATTCTATACTACTAAAATTATCACTTAATAGAAAAACCTGTATCCACTTTTTAAAATCCAGATGACTTATCCATGAATTATCTTGGAAGTTTTTTGAAAAATACAAATGCCCAGGTATTGCTTTTTTCTCCAAAGCTCCAGATGTGATTCTAATGAGCGGTCATGTTTAAAAATAACTGAACTATATGATAAGCTTTTACTTTTATATAATTTCACCTTTTCTTTTTTATATTCAGTGCTCCCATTTCACTTAGTTTATGTTTTCCAGTTTTTTTGTTGTTGTTCTTTCTCAAGGCTTTATGAAGTGTAGTACGAAGACTTTTGTATACATATATATATGTAAATAGTATGCATAATATATATTTTAGAAAACTTACAAATTTTGATTAGCTAAAACATTTATGACATTTTGGTTCTACATGTTTAAGTATAATACAATGCTAGATTTCTAATTTATATTCACTCAAAACTCTGATATAGATCCATCTATTCTAGCATCTAGTATTACTGATAAAAGCTAAGAAAGCTTACTATTTTAGTTGTTTTTTAAAAAAAACTGAATGAAGCTTGAAACATTTAATCCATATCTGAGAATATAAAGAAATACTATGTTGTTAAAAAAAATTAACACATGATACAATATTATTAATTAATTAAAGTACAGATTTTGTTCAAATTTCACAAAACTTTATGCTAGTGTCCATTATTTGTTATTCAAGATTCCACACTGTATTAAGTTGCATTGAGCAACTTCAGCTGCATGCAATAAGTTGTGATAAATTTTCTTTTCATTTTTATTGTTACTAATATTTTCTAATTTTCCTTCTTATGGATTCTGAGCTACATCTATCATTTAAAAGTGGACATTTAAATTTCCAAATACATGGGGTTTCTAAAGTATCCTTGATATTAATTTCTCATTTAAATGCTTTCTTCTCAGCCATCACCTTCTGTGTTTTTTCAGTCTTTCAACTTCATTGAGGCTTTCAATGGCTAAGTTAAAGAGTTCTCTTGGTAAATGTAACACTGAACTTGAAAATATGAGGGTTATTTTCAGTTATCTCTTGATATTGATTTCTAACATAATTCCCTACAGTGACAAGAGAACAGACACTATGATTTCAATACTCTTACAGCATGAAATTTCTGCACCTTGTTTTATGTCCCTTGATATGTTCTAGTGTTTCCTGGTTTATAGTCTATGGGAACCTGAATAGAATTTGTATCCTGCAGTTGTGTGAAAATTGTATAAATCTTAATTATGTTGAATTGGTTCATAGCGCGTGTGTGTGTATAAGGTCTACTATACCCTTCTACTTTTCCTCTGTTCGTTCTATTAATTTCTAAGAGTTGATATTGACACTCTACTAAAAACCTTAATTTTTATACCTGAAACAATAATTGTAGTATATATAGTGTATAAATGTAGTATATATATGTAACTTTGTTCTGTATTTTCTAAGTGTCCTGTAAATGTGTTATCATACTTTCATAATTTAAAAAATTAAAAAAAAAAAGAACCAAAAAAAAAACCTGTTTCTTAAAAAAGA